TTTCTTTCAGGGTTTTTACTCTTCCTGTATTACTGCCACATTCACAATGACGTTGCGGGTTGTTTCTCTGATGATCCAGAAAGCACTGACTCCACCAAAACCATCGCTCAATCAAGCATTAATGCTGTAGAAAATATGTATAACTAGCATAATTAAGACAGAAGGCTTTCTTTGTCTCAGACTTTCTTTCTCTTAGACAAGCATGACCCTAAAATGGGTTAGTTTTATTGAAATTACTTAAAACAAATGACAAATATCTGTTGATCGTAATTAAATACTTGTAGAAGGATTGAATTGTGCTTTTAAATCTCTGATATGATCTGATATTACTGTTGTTTTATTGAGCATTATAATCATCCATGTGTGATCATGTGCATGTCAGAGCGACTCAAACACTGAACCTTATTTAGAAAACTAATTTACATCTTCAGGATGACAGTAATGTCCGCACGCTTGTGGATTCAGACATTTGCATGGTTATTTGATATAACAGCTCATTAAAATCCACACACACGGATGTGAAACATATCTGGTTACAGGAAACAAAACAAAAAACTGTCAGTGTGAATAAGAGAATCCATCATTGTTTTATGCTGCTTATGATTCTCTGTTATGTTTCTCAGTATTTCTCATATGATTCTAATAAAGGTAATATAATTTTATTAATCATGATGGACTGACTCCAAAATCATTTATTCACTTTAGTCACACTTATAAATATGTGAATGTTAATCATTACGTCACGAAATATCAAAGCAAATGTCACTTACTGTACAGAAAGGTGCACAAACACAAAGTGTAAAAACATGACATTTTCTGTATCTAAACCATGTCAGGAATCCATTAATGAAAGTTACTTTTTCATTAGCATCTTAAAATTGTTTCTACTTTTATTAAATATATGTTTATATTTATATTGTTTTCTGTGAGCAAAGACTTGATAAACTGGACTTGAATGTAAGCAGATAATGAGATTCTCAGTAAAGCCCAAATAAAAATAATTTGAATGTTTGCAAATGAACTGTATGTCATTGTCCAGCGTCTCTTAAATAGTTTCATATGTGTACGCATCAAACTCTCTCAACTCTTGGACTGTGGACTTTAGCTCAAGAATGTAATAAGAAAATGATTAAAGATTTATGGGCTCTGTCTGAAGAAAACAAAATTAAACACTTGCATCTCTAACAGGCCGCTGTCTCTGGGAATTATGTCTCGACAAAAGCAGAATTTGCTGTGGATGATGATCATCTGTTGTGCTCCGTGCCAGATAAGTATGTTGCTTTAAAAAAAACTGCTTTCATCAACTTGAAGAGAAATTAATGCCAATTAATATGTTGTTTGGTGCCCATTAGAAAACAAGTGAAAACTTGATTATGGCTGTGGGCATCTAAATGTTGACATCTAATACAGAGTTTTATATCATGTCATACATTGTTAATAGCCTTAAATGTTGTCTTTCTTTGTTCAGCCGGCTCAGACAAAATGAAAGTCAACATCCAAGTCAATTCGACAGATAAATGTTTCTGGAAGGAAAGTAGCTCAACAGTTCCAAGTAGATGTGAAATATACTGCTAACATGACTGTGTGATACTGCATATTTATTATCTGAAAGCACTTGTGACGACTGTAGTTGTCAAACTTCCAGTGAAAGCAAAGCGTCTTGCATCCAGACTCACACAATAATAACCGAACTAACTAAAACCTGCCACCTGCAAAGGCATCCGAAATAGGCAAGCACACAATTTACGAGTAACTTCAGTGGAAAATAAATGAATGGCAGAGCAGATGACATTAAATAACATTCAATTAACATTCAGGGAAGACATTTAGTTCACATTTTATTTTTTGGGGCTGCAGATTGATGGACAACGGATAGTGGTGTGCTGATTTTCATAAAGTCGACACTGATTACAAAGCCGTTTTCTGTGCTATTATAAGCATGCAAACATTTAGTGCAAAGCAGCAGATGTTTTATTGCTTTGACTTCATATACTGTATGATTTAAGAATTATGTTGCATTATGTGTTCTCATGGTCTCTTGAGATTGTAAGGAAAACTCTGCTGTTGATCCTGGAGAGAGATGTAAAGATGCTACATACAAACGCTCTACATGCAAGAGTAAGTCTGCATTTTAAGATTTAAGCTCAACTAGGGCCTCAGTAAACTAGCTTAGATTACAATCATTTGACCATTAAAATTCCCCTCAAAGATAATAGTGCATTGTGTAATGCAAGTTAAATATAAGAACATTATTCAGTTTTTTTTTTATTTTCAGCACATGTGTAATATTACTCTGTATATTCCAGTTCTTGCTTATAATGATTTTGTTCCTGCATATTCTCGCATCATGTACAATGAAAATTCCATGTGGTATTTCTTTTTTTCTTGGCCATGGTATAGGTAAATAAATACAAATATCACTATACGTTAATTACTAGACCATGTCAATAATGCATATGTGAATTGTGATAAACATTAGGGATGTCACAATTCTGAATATGATATTGAACAGTTTGGTATGGCATCTACGGTTCAATAAGTGCTTTTGAATTGCAGTTTTTTTGTTATGCGTTTAATTTCCGCGTGTTTTATTTCTCTCCGAATTGGCTCTGTTTGTGTGCCCTTGAGTCTACGCGCTGAGATGAGGAAACGCCTCCCCGCTTATAACGGGCATTTGAAAAAGCATCAGACGAAAATCTTCCCTTGTAATGACTTGTAATGAGAAGTGTTTTTTAAACTGTTGTCCAACAAAAGAGAACATTATAACATGTTTTTATTCCACAACATCAGTCGAATATTTGAAATATTATTTGATATTGAAATATTATTTAATATTTGAAATAACTTCCTTTAGTGATCTGATTGGGCTTCTTATCACAGAATGAGAAAGAAAATATATTCTATACTTTAATAAAGGCCATGTCGATTAGCAGTGGATTATAAATATACTTAATTATTATGAAAATACCCGAGATGGCTTGAAGGGTAACACTTTACAATAAGGGCACATGAATAAGCATGTACTAATGCCTAAATTAATACTTAATTCACCATATACTAATGATTATTAAAGGTGTTAACTAATCATGAAATAATGAAGAGATATCCTTAACTACAACTGGAGTCATATGGATTCACGCATGAATAACGGCAGCCTTAACTACATGTTTGATAGTTAATGCATTAATTAACATTTATGGGTAAACTAAATCAAACAGCCTCTTTAAGAAGGAATAAGAGATACTCTTGACTTTGAAATGAATTTCAATATTTTAATATCATAATTTGAGCTTTTGACATCTACAGCATTGTCAAAATCATTACTGGGTGGCAAAGGATTAACGTGATCCTCCTCATCAAGCGTAGAAAATACTAAATACACTAATAACTGATCTTGTCTGTTTTGTGTTCTTCTCATTCCCTTTAAACTCACCCTACTGTGACTTATATGCAGCTATGTAGGTATGTAGAGTAATTAACAGCAATGTGTTTGTCGTATGCTTTAGTTAGCTTAATTTGGACGAGCCATATTTGAACTCATGTGTGTCTTCAGGTATGTTTGGGCTTTCTTTTGAGTCAATATACGTTATGTTTAATGATGTAAATAAATAACCTTTATATGTGTTTGTTGTACTGGTGGTTTAAAGGAATAAATATGACTCTTACTGCATGTTTTATGGTATTTTATTTGATGATTTGTTAATGTGTCATTGTGTCATGACTTTACTTTGAGGGGCCCATCATTACTAACTCATTATTAACTACCCATAAATTAAAATCAACTCATGGCTTGTTAATGCATTATTTTGACATGACTTTACTTGAGGGGGCCCAATCATAATTAATTAACTGTTAGTTGACTACTTACTAAACTCAGCTCATGATTTATTTTATACTTTCTATCAACTACACATGTACTAACACAGTGAGTATTGAGCCCGATGGCTTTTCGAGAAGTCAGAGAGCGGAGGTACAGGATCATGACGGCCTGCTTGTGTCTGGATGGAGAGTGAACTGTACTGACACCCAGCAAATGTTCTGACCTTACCTGCATGTTTCTTGATTGGCCATTTCTTTAGAAATCATTCTACAAATATTCTTTGTGGGTTTTGAGTTTGTATTTATTTATTTAGCTGCATATAAGTCACAGTAGGGTGAGTTTAAAGAGAAGGAGAACAACACAAAACAGACAAGATCAGTTATTAGTGTATTTAGTATTTTCTACGCTTGATGAGGAGGATCACGTTAATCCTTTGCCACCCAGTAATGATTATGACAATGCTGAAGATGTCAAAAGCTCAAATTATGATATTAAAATATTGAAATTCATTTCAAAGTCAGGAGTATCTCTTATTCCTTCTTAAAGAGGCTGTTTGATTTCGTTTACCCATAAATGTTAATTAATGCATTAACTATCAAACATGTAGTTAAGGCTGCCGTTATTCATGCGTGAATCCATATGACTCCAGTTGTAGTTAAGGATATCTCTTCATTATTTCATGATTAGTTAACACCTTTAATAATCATTAATGGTTTCTGATTTAGAATGAAACTAATATTTACACTGTTTTGAACAATGAGACTTATGGAATAACGATGGGGACCAAAATCTCCAACCTTACCGACAATATTGAGATGTTCATTAAACTGAAAAATATGGTAATAAAGGTTTTGATGCTAAACTTATTTTTACATACATTCACTGTGAAAGCAAAATAAAAATCAAATGTGTTCTTACAGGTTGGTAAGGCATCCTGCGTTTCTTGGGATGGCAAAGGTAAAATAATTTATGGCTTTACTGATCAGTTTCAACCAAAAAACCCAGTTTATTTTATATAATTATAATTTGCTCTCTTTTCTTTGAAGGAGAACTTAATTGGACGACGTCCGGCTGTGAGACAGAAATTGACAACACCACCATAAAGTGCTCCTGCTCACATCTGACATTCTTTGCAGTGCTGATGGTGAGAAGCTTCTCAGAGTAGGGCTGTCACGATTATGAAATTTGGCAGAAGATTAATTGTCTAAGAAATAATTGCGATTATGGCGATTGTCTGTTTTAGGGCATTGACGATTATGATTATTATGACGATTAATTGTCTGTTTTATGGCTTTGTCATACACTTTTTATGCACATTGTTCATTAAATAATTGTTACAAAGGATTGTGATTAATTGAATGCTTTGTGAGTTGTTGTTTGCACCTTTAAATACTGAATTATATATATATATATATATATATATATATGAAATTAGAGGCAACCACTGCATTTTAATCACGATACTAACAGATGTAGCATGAGCAGTTTTTGATTTAAATTTTATTGTATAATTCCAAAAAACATCTGCATGAAGCAAAAACAGCAGAGAACGCAAATTCACTCTCTGACAGCAGGTGGCGCTTAAGGAACAGCAGCGATACAGCGTTTCTTTGATTACCGCAAGCAGCGCTGCGCTTTCAAACGCTACTTTAATATGCATTATACAGGGACAAAATAACATTGAAATGTTTCTGAAAACAGTCCGTACCCTTCAAAGATACATTCATATAAACCTCCACCCCAATATTTATATTTTTCTTCTAATATTTCGAGAATCGTGAACAGTGAGCTTGCTGTGCCTGTACAGTATTTTCTGCTATCGCGTCTATTCTCTCCTCTCTGCGTCCGTTCTTAGTGTGTTCCATCCTAAGTCAATTTAATCACCTTTTTGAAGGAGTGCGCCGGCTTCACTGAAGCTCACACACACAGCTACAGACAGTCACTCGAACACAGACATCTGAGCAGCGCACACAGAAACTTGTTGTCAACACTGCTCCATGACTTTTAGAAATAAAACTGCTTGAGAAAAGCAACATTATATTTCTCAGCAACAAGATGGAAACATCACTGTTTTATAAGTTATAAACAATTTCACTATTAGTGGAGAGACGCATAATCTCTCTCTCCTGTTCTCTCTCTCTCAGTAATTCATTTAAATAAATGCAATCTTACCGCAATGCTTTATCTCTGTGTCTGATTTAAAAGTGGGCAGAATACTAGATCTAACGACCCGTAGGCAAAATAACTAATGAAAATGAACTGTTGTTTGTACTCAACCAGTCATTTCAGGTTTAAATTGTCAATGCTGGCAAATGAGCAATACCGCTGCTCCATATACTCAGAAGTACACATTCTTGTGGCTGCTAAAGGAGCACAATAATCGCGGTTGTCTGAAATGACCGCGGTTAGATGAAGTAACCGCCATCAGACAGTTATTTAATTATCGTGACAGGCCTATCTCAGAATAGAAGAACTTATGCTTTCATAATTCATGTTTCATTTAAAGATCCCATTAAATCAATATTGGAGTCTTTTAGTCCACATCTATATGCTAGTGAATGCATAAAAGATAACAAAAGAAACTTTTAAAAATTGCTAGCAATATCTTATACTTGCTAAAAACGTGTTCCGTTCTGTTTTCTTTGATCCTTCAGTCTCCGCCAGATGAAAACAACACAATGCCGGATCTGGAACCACTGACTTTTATCACGTCTATCGGCTGCGGCATCTCCATGTTTTTTATGGCTGTCGCTTTATTCATGCATTTCCTGCTACGGTAGAGTATCTTAAATTATAACATATAGTTTAGTGCTGGTATTTCAGGATTAGTTTATGTTGCAAACACAGTTTTTTGTATGTTTTAATAGGAAAGCCAAATCAAATCAGGCCACGAAGATCTTGATGAACATGTTTGTGGCTTTGTGTCTACTGAATACCTCGTTTTTGTCAAACGAGAGCGTCGCTAACACAGAAGACAACGCTGCGTGCGTCTTCATAGCACTGGTGCTGCATTACTCCATGCTGGCCTCATTCACCTGGTTCTTCATTCAAGCTCTTCATATGTACTTATGGCTCATCAGACAGAACGTCACCATCACAAACTACATGAGGAAGATCACTGTGTTGGGCTGGGGTGAGTTAGAGCAACAAAAGACCTATTAAAATAAACCTGTTTCAAACCATCTAGTCCAATTGTAAGTTCCACCGAAAAAGAAAATATATTGCACATGAGTTGAAAATATATTAAACTACTGTCATGATAATTTTATGGTGATTGTGTCCTTTTCTTGAACTGTTCCTTTAAGAGCATCTGAACACTTATTGTAGTATCATTAAGATACTAATAGTTTTTATTGATATGTTGAATCAATTTAATTAGTTTTCATTTAAATTTTAAAGTTGTAGTATTTTTTGAGGAAGTTTTAGTATTTCTAAATACAGTTTTTGTCTTTTTTTTTTTTTGTGGTAAATATGTCTATATAGTTTTTATAATTTTTTATTTTAGTTTTAGTTTTATTTTTATTTTTTGTTATTTTAGCATATGAAGTTAAAGTATTTTTCAGTAACAAAAATTACTTATTCATTTGTTCATTAATTTTTTATGTTTTTAGGTTTAGTTTTTTAACTATAATAACCCTTTTGTCTCTGTGTGTTTTCAGCGTTTCCCGCTCCAATAGTCATAGCTATTGCTTCTGTAGGAGAATATAAAACACTGATCCTAAAAACAACGTCTGGAAAAATTTCGCTAATGTAAGTTTTGTAAAATTTAAATGTACATGTATATTTACGCATGTCTTCTGATTTTCTTCTTAATTAAATTTCATTCTTTTTTAATCACAGGTGCTGGATTACAAATCCCTTCATTCACTACGCAGTGAACATCGGCTACTACGCTTTAGTTTTCATCTTCACGACAGGAATCTTCATCACTATCTTAACTAGGATTGTCCAGGCCAGACGCCTAAGAGCAATTGACAGCAAGAGAAAGACGTTCAGAAAGCAGCTGATGATGGTGTTGAGTTTGTTCCTGCTCTTCGGTCTGACGTGGTCTGTGGCTTTCTTCAGTTATGGACCGATGCGCATTCCCTCATATTACATATTCACTGTGCTGAACTCATTACAGGGTGAGCAACAATCACATGCATCAATACATGTGGTTTAATAGAACACTTATAGGTTTCCTACAGACTTCAGCAAATTATTTGAATTAAATATCTGAATGAAATATTTTATTATTGTTAATTTAATATATATATTTTTAATTCTTTTAAAAATACTTGATTATAATGGGTTATAAAAGCAGTTGAAATCTTTTTCTGATCCTTTTTTCAGGGTTTTTCCTCTTCCTGTATTACTACCACATTCACAAGGACCTTGCTGGTCATTTCTCTGATGATCCAAGAAGCTCCGGCTCCACCACAACAATGGTTCCACCCAACATGAATGGTCTGGAAAATGTTTATAAGTAGCCTAATTAAGACAGAAAACCACCTCTTAGTTTCTTAGACAGTTGATAAGTTAACAGCAGACTGCCAGAACACTAGTAGTCATGCGTGTTTAATAATATTCTGTATGGTGATGGGAATATAATTTATAATGTGATCATAAGTGGGACTGTTAGCTTTTAAGACATTTTAAACAAAGTTAATTTAACATGTAAATGAGCATTGTAACTGGAAGCTACAAGTCTCATATTTTTTTGTATCTGTGACTTTAGAGTTACTGTAATTGTAGTTATGAAATATAGATTGTTTGACTTATAAATGCTTAAACTGTGTAATGAACATTATTAGATGTTGATGTACTGGGAGTAAAGATGTCAAATAAAAGGTTTTGGTTCAAATAATTCAAATAAAGTTTCCATCTAGAGTGTTTTAGGTACATTTTTCTGACTGCTAAACAAAGCTGGAAATCATTCAATAATATTAATAACCGTGATATTGTTTATTTTACGGTGCATTAATATGATAATATTAACTACTTTCTCCATGCATTTGTTGAATTAAATAAATATTTTAATTGATTTTGATTTATTTTGTCGTTCTACATGTAAATCGATACCATATATCAGTGGTAGGCTAAACATATTGACTGATTAATTTCATTATGTAACGTATAGGAATACTGATTTATTCATACAAATGGTATTATAATTTTGTTTTATTTCACTATAGTATGTTTTAATGTATAAATACTTGAATTAATGCATAAGTTAATAATGTAATAGATTTTATATCTAATGTAATATTGTAAAATAATTATTGTAATGTATTAATAGGAATATTAATGTGATGTGTAAGAAAGACAAGAGACATATTGTAAACAGTATAATTTATTTACATTTATTTCATTCTTTTCCATTATTGTATAATGTCAGTCTACCTGTGTGCCAGGCTAATGAGCACATGTACTACTCTGTTCTCCCCGTGAATGACTCTGTGTGCCAGAGAGGGAGAAGCTGTCGCCTGTTGATCCACTGATTATTTCTCCTTGTTACAGATTGAGTAAAATAAATTGCTGAATCTCATCAACGAGTGGTCGTGTGGTCTTTATGTGTGTGAGGGTGACCGGTCCAAACATGCTACATTAGCATCGCTAACTAGTAAATATTCAAATGCATTACACTTCAAACTGTTTAAACAGGCACTTTGCCTTTCCATTCCATGCAGATTTATTATCATTAGTATATAAATAGGCTATGACATACAATTTAGACAGCTCACATAACACATTTTATATACAAAATAATTAAAATAACCACTTTAACAACAATATGAGCTTCACATCTTGACATTTAAACCCTCCAGAAAATCAGCTGTAAGTGCTGCAGTGTAAACATTATTGATTGTTGATTTTCTGTGATCATTGATACCACAGATGCCCAGAGCTGAACTGCTGGTTTATGTGCTTGTAAAGGTTGCGTCTTCCAGCATCGTAGAAATGCATTTCCATTAGATGCACTTTGTCTCAAACCGATTGGCTCTTGTTGTACTTTAATCATGAAGCCTCAGACTGTGCATCGGATTTGAGGTTTCGCAGATTTGGCAGGGAGTTGCACGTTACATGAAACGCTGATTCGCTCCAAAGTGTAAATAGCAGAGAACATTGTGATTAAATGCTAGTTGCCAGGACGGATCGGTGTTTCCCTGATGGGCCTGTTACGCCACACAACCTCAAATGTGAATCTGTGGTCTGGAGGACGTCCAAACAGCATCTCAGCGCTGCCAGACACTTCCAGATTCCTACAAATGATCATTAGAAGAGTCAGTTTAGGCCTCAGCATCGCTACTTGTACTTAGTTCCTCCCAAACACTGCAACCTTTATTTCATTTTCAGAATACCTCATTTGAGAGCCATAATTTGCTTTCAGGTTTCAGTTTCAACAAGCTTACAGCTACAGTTTTCCTCCTGAAATATCATGTGAATGAATGGCTTGACAATATATTTAAAAACAATAAAAGATTATGAACGTCATCCAAGCTCCTATTATATTGCAGACTTTTTTTGTGTGGAAGTAAATGCGACTTTTGGAAGATACTGCACACTATTGTTAAAAAAAATCAGGATCTGTAAGACTTTTATTTTTATTTTTTATTTTTTTGAAAGGAATTAATACTTTTATTTAGCAAGGACAAATTAAATTGATCAAAGTGCCAGTAAAAATTAAATTTTTATTTATTTATTATTATTTTAAAAAATGTATAATGTTACAAAAGAATTATGTTTCAAATAAATGCTGTTCTTTTGAACTTTCTATTCATCAAAGAATCCTGAAAAATTAAATGCATCGTGGTTTCTACAAAAAAATATAAAGCGGCACAACTGTTTTCAACATTGATAATAATAATAAATTGTTGAGCAGCAAATCAGCATATTATACTGATTTCTGAAGATCATGTGACACTGAAGACTGGAGTAATGATGCTGAAAATACAGCTGCGCATCACAGAAATAAATTACAGTTTAACAGAGATTCACATAGAAAACAGCTATTTTAAACTGTAATAATATTTCACAATTTTTTCTGTATTTTTGATCAAATATATGCAGCCTCGGTGAGCAGAAGAGACTTCATTAAAAAAAAAAAATCATAATTATTTCAAACGTTTGACCAGTAGTGTATGTTTGTTACCTCACTTAAGAGCTAAACAAATGAAACTTAAAGTTGCACATTTTTCATTTAAATCTAATTAGTAGTATTTCAGTGCATGACACAGATTTGCAACGGCAAACAAATGCTAAATTGTAATAAATATTAACATAACTAGATGACACACACTCAACTTTTCATCACATGAATCTGCAGTAAATCACCACTTATTAGTTAAATACAAGTATAGTTTAATTAAAAGTGAAATCTAGCATCTCGGATGCATGTAATCTCTCTTAAACACATGAAAAAACACATTGAGTTGTGCTGTTTTTTGTCCCCTGTAACTTGTGAAACTCTTTAGAGTGTCTGGTTTTCCTGCAGAGGTCTGCGTTCAGGGCAGCGCTTGCGTGACTGCAGATCCTGACGTGTGTGTGTGAGTGTGAGTGAGTGAGTGAGTGAGTGAGTGTGTGTGTGTGTGTGTGTGTGTGTTTGAATAAATGGAAATCCATCACACAGGGGCATCTGGGAAGCCATCAGTCATTTTGATATTACCCTAATGACGTGGAGCTCGTAACGTGGGTCGTTTAAATGAAAGACTGATTTGAGAGGCACTTTATTGCTCTTGACTGAACGCAGCACAGAGATTAAGAGACGTTCACACACCACACGTTCTGTGCTTTACTCTATTTGTTGGTCTATGAGCATGTGTGTCAGACGGACAAAATATATAGGCCATATTTAAGATTTATGCATTTGGGTTGCACATTTTTAACATTAACAAACTAATAAACGTAAACCCTGAACACAAAATGACCCAAAGAATGAGAGAATGGTTAGTTTTGTGTTAATTTGAACTGTTGTTTTTATATTACTTATACATAAAAATAAATATTGTATGTTTTTAATGATCTAATTATTTAATTCTTATTTAAATTTTTTGATCTACTTTTTTAAACAATTGTATTTAATATTTTATTTGATCAATTTTTATTTTAAACAATTTTACAGATATGCAGCTCATTGTGTTTGTTTGTTTATTTATTTATGTGTAATCCAAAATGGATGGAATTTGTATATGCAATATGAATAAATAATAAATTCATAAAATCATTTATATTAATAAATATATATAAATCCAATTACGTCGATCTTTTATTTAGACCTAAATATTTTGTTTTATTGTAAAAGTTAAACTGCTTTTAAATGTAACTTAAATGTGACAATGCACATTTTATCTGATATAATATTTATTTTAAATAACTGAATATTCTTATTTTCTCTGATTTATTTTTGTGCTAATTTTACATTATTATTTTTAGATTTTCTTTATTTTTTATACTATTTTTGTGTATTTGCATGCAATATATCTGTGTAAGTTTCATCTTCAGGTCAGTATCTTCCAACAGGACAAATCTTTTCATGTAGAATTCTCACAGAATGCAGAATGTCAACATCTTAAATAAATAAAACCACCTCCATCTCGTAGATCATATGCATTCATTTTACCTTTTTACATTCTCATGCTTTAATTCAGAGCAGCACGCGAGCCGCCGTTGTAAAGACCACCCGCTTTTTCCTGCGAGCAAAGAGGAATCGGGAGTTTTTAAGAACAATTCTTATTTGTCTTTTATGCTTGTCTTTCTGGATGTGGTTGAAATGAGCCGTAGGCTTTCGTGGCAAAACAAAATGTGCTTCCATTGAAAGTATTGTAAGACAAATCGCATCTATGGACGCCGCGGGTCAGTCTGTGACACATACACAACCTATTTGTGACCCTGGAGCACAAAAGCAGTCTTAAGTCGCTGGGGTATATTTGTAGCAATAGCCAACAATACATTGTATGTGTCAAAATTATACATTTTTCTTTTATGCCAAAAATCATTAGGATATTAAGTAAAGATCATGTTCCATGAAGATATTTTGTAAATCCTTATGACTGGTTTTGTGCTCCAGGGTCACATTTATGATAAAAACATACCTTCAGTTCAACATCCAGCTCGCAGACAACATATGCATGTGATCTAACTTGCATAAAGAAACAATGTGCATCTTCCATTACTAGGATTTGGTTCGTGCTGTAAAGCCGCGGCATTAGGAGGAAGTAAAGAGTGAAATGAGGTGAGGTCAAAGGTCAATCCACAACACACGGCTCAAAGTGCCAGACGTTTCATCTAACCGTCACGAATCCAGTGATGTATGACGCTCGGCTCCTGTTTCCAGTGTTATCCTTTTAGATTACAAACACACATTAATATATGCCTTCGTTCTCTTAAAGCATGCCAACTGTTACAAGTGCAATTCATTTCAGACTAAAAATAAACATTTGCATTCATGCATTTGGCAGATGCTTTTATGGAGTGGTGTGGATTATTGTGATGCTTTTATCAGCTCT